AGGGGCAGCATCAGGGCTCCCCTCCCCTCCCCTCTGCACGAAGCTCTCCCAGCCTTACCTCGTCAGGCTCGCGGCCCTCACTGAGTGCGGGTGACTTGGTGCTCGGAAGTGCAGCCTGGAGCTGCTGCCATCCTGCTCCCTTCGGGCCCTGCCCTGGAGCCTGCCCCGCAGCCCCTCGTCACTCACTTCCCTGCACCTCGTGTTCCCGTCTGCGGAGTGGGCATCACACCATGGCGTACCCACCTCCTGGGCTTGTCCTGGGGACAAGTGCAGTGCGCAAAGCAGAGCACGGCACAGACGGTGCAGCCACAATCGTCGCCATCTGTCCCCACGGTCCAGGCCCTGTGGCCCTTCCTGTCTGTGAGCTGATGTTTTCTTTGAATCCCTTGGAAGTTCGTGGGAGCTGTGTTTGTGTTTGTTTTCCCTGCAAGGCCTGGACAGAGGCTGCGGCTGCTCTGGGTGAGGGAGGGCAGCCGCCTCCTGCTCCCCGACCCCCAGCCCTGGCCTCTCTCGGCTCTGCAGTTTCCTGTTGATGAGGTGAAAGGGAGAGGGTCGAGGGAGGGTGGAGCAAGGTCATTGTTCTTTTCCCCCTGCTCTGCCGTTCCCAGCTTGCCGGCCCTTCCTGTGTGCTTAGGGCACATGGAAGTGGAAAGTGAGGTTATTGATGAGGTTGCCATAGCAACAACCCTAGGAGGCACACATTCAGCTTTGTTGTCCAGGCCCTGGAGGCTCCTACAGACAGACAGACAGGGCCTGCCGCCCTGTCTCCTGGCTGCGGACACCCGGGAACTTTGTGCTGCAGAGGGTGGGGTGTTCACAGTGGCCTGGGCCTGGTGGGGGCTGCACCCTCTCTGCACACACATGAGAGGAGTGTCCAGAAGTGACAGGAGGCCTTGGGGGAGAGCAGGCCCTGGTGTGGAAGGGCCGCCAGGGCCTGTTGGGAGTCCTAGGGAAGACAGGGCTCTGGGGGAGGCCTCCCCAACCCAGCCTCTGACCCAGCGTAGCCAGTAGGTCTCCTCTCCAGCCCCCCATCCTCCTGTGCTTGCGTGTGGTACAGGCCGGGCACTGTCCACTCCTTAGGCTTGCTGTGAGGAAGGGCAGTCAGGGCCCACGTCCACACACCTTGCATTGTGGGAACTCAGCTCCAGGCTCTGAAAGGAGCCCAGTCCTGCCCTTCTGCTTCCCTCCTTGTCCTTGTCCCTCTCACCAGCTCCCAGGATAGTGTGCCAGTCTCCCCACTTGTTCTACCACCATCCACGTGGCCCCCTGAGGTCCTCTGATACACGTGTGCCCCTCCCTATTGACGCCATGGCTGCCACCTGCCCAGGATGAAGTCCCACGTCAGCCACACCTGCACCCTCAGCCAGGCGCCTCCTCCCCTGCACAGCGGGAAACAGGCTCAGAGGTCACGGAGCCTGTGGCATCACGTGGCAGAGCCGGAGTTTGGCCCTGATGATGGGCAGCAAAGCATCTGGCCCTCACTGTGCTCTGGACCATCCTGGGCACCACGGCGACACCGCGTCCAAGTTTGCAGAATGTAATTGGGTCTGAATAGGTTAAATCGGATTAGATTCGACCTGGCGGGAGCCTGTGCTGACGGGCACCAGGCTTCTGCATGCTAGAATTTCTGGGAAGGAGTCTGTGATTCCATCTCAGACCCCTCTCGGAGGGCAGGCAGGCAGGACTTCTGCCCAGCTCCTCACTGTGTGTGTCTCCCCGTATCTCAGCCAAGAGAGACGGCAGGGGGCCCCAAGAACAGAGGTGGTGCAGAGCTGGGAGCCACGGGACAGACTCACAGAACCCGGGCCGGGCCTCTGAGGTTAGGGGTGGGTGTGAGTGGGCTCAGCCCTTGCAGCCCCTCCTCTCCTCGGAGCTGACCTGGAGCCGTCCTGGGCACTGTCTGCCAGGCCAGCTCTCCACGGGGTCCTAATTCTCCTCACCCCAGCAAACATTTCTGCCAGCCAGCAGCCTGGGTCCCCGCGGAGAGCCAGGGTGGGAAGGCCACGGCTGGAGGCCCTGCAGCCTGGGTCCCAGTCCTGCCTGTGACCTGGGACGTTCAGCCCCCTCTGAGGGTTCCCTTTCTCCTTCTGTAAGATGGGCCACGAGGGCCAGTGCGGCCCCAGCTTTCCAGGGCTGCTGCAGAGCTGGGGGCCAGGGCAGGAGAGGAGCCGAGTGGTCGGCACGGGGAAGGGAGCTGGGGGCCAGGGCGGAGAGGAGCCGAGTGGTCGGCACCGGGAAGCTGAGGCTGCCCCTTTTCACACATGATGGCGACGCTCGTGCCACCCCGTCCTCGGGGAGAAGCTGCCCCAGAGGCACCCTGGTGGAGCAATGCCAGCCTTGCCCACCCAGGCCACCGTGCAGTGGGCCCAGCTCCCTCCAGCTTGGCTGTGGCAGAACCGCGAAGCTGCCCCCACAGCACCCTCCCCTTGTTTGGAAAATACAGATTTGGGTAAGATAAATTATTTTATTCCCTTGTAATAGTTTTTGATGGTTATTTTTCAGTGAGTTCTAGGTACGTTTCCTTCTGTTCCTTTCTGCTATGGTAGATAACATCAGCTGTAACACAGAAATCCACCTCTGACAGCGAGCAGTGACAGAGCTGTGCTCAGTCGGCTGAGGGTCCCCAGGGCCTGGGGCTGCCGGGCACATGGCAGAGTGTCCAGGAGCCTGCCAGGTCTTGAGTGAGCAGGGGCGGCCAGCCACAGGACCTTGGCTCCTCCCTGGGGTCCTCAGCTGGGGGCTGGAGGCCCAGCCTCTTCCCCCACGGTTACTGAGAGACATAACACAGAGGCCTGTGAGCCACGCTACTGCAGACGGGGACCGCACTCCCCACCTCTGGCTCCCTGCTCAGTGTGGGCTCCTGCACACGACAGCCATGCTAGATTCCTCCCCCAGGTCCTGTGTCACCCGCAGACTCCAGCTGCACCTTCCTGGCTCATCACTAGAGTGACGGCAAGTCTGCGGCAAGGGAGGCCACACCGTTGTTGCTGAAGCTTTGTTCAGCTCAGGGTTCAGGGACGTGTCTGCTCCCCTGTGGCAGAAAGTAAGAGTTACAGAGAGGCAGAGAGAGAGAGAGAGAGGTCTTCCATCCATTGTTTCACTCCACAGTTGGCCACGATGGCTGGAGCTGGGCCAATCCAAAGCCAGGAGCCAGGAGCTTCCTCCAGGTCTCCCATGCGGGTGCAGGGGTCCAAGCACTTGGGCCTTGTTCCACTGCTTTACCAGGCCACAGCAGAGAACGGGATCAGAAGAGGAGCAGCTGGGATAGAACCAGCGCCCGTATGGGATGCCGGTGCTGTAGGCAGAGGATTAACCTATTGTGCCACAGCGCCAGCCCCGCTAGGGTTCCATTTACAGGAGGCAGGAGGAAGAAGAAGGGAGGGATGGTAGGAGGGTGTGGAGTGTGTGTAAGGGTCGGAGTGGGAGAAGCATTCGCCCGAGAACCTCAGCAGTCCTCCGTGCAGGGGGCGAGGGCTGACCGTGGGTGGCAGGCCCACCACTGTCAACGGGCAGGATCCCACCCGCTGCCCGAAGCTTTGCCAGGACAGAGCCCCCGGAGGATGCGCTAAGAGGCTGCACTGTCTCAAGGGCCCTTCGAAAGTCCCTCAACTGCCAGCCTTTGGCAGGCTCCCACAGTGAGGAGCTGCAGGCGCCTGTCCTCCGGCAGCAGGGCCCCACGGAGAGCTGCCCTGTTGGCGAATGCTGCCGCGTGCCTGCCGCTTCCCTGCCCGCTGCAAGAGGCAGACCGTGGCGTGCCCGCTTCACGGTGAGGGCAGAGACGTGCAGTGTCGTCTCAAGGCACTCGGCTGGTCAGGAGGGCGGCTTCGCAGAGACTCGCTGAGAAACGGCTGTCCGGGGGTTGGCTCACCTTGGCTCACGAGGGCCCACTGTGCACGTCTCCTGCCCTTCCACCTTCAGCGATATCCCCTTGGAATATTTACACACAGAATTTGGCAGAATTTGGCTGTAACACACCTCGTCTGCAATTCATGCATCAATCTGGGAATTGGGGGCGCGGGGGTCTTCCCGTGCCTGTGAGACGCAGCCTATGGAAGTGCGTCACTGTTTCCGTCACCAGTCAGGTGGTGGCACTGAGTGTCAGTCCAACCATGAGAGCTGCATAAATGAGAAAGTCCGAGTCCGCGTCTAGTATTAGTGTTAACATCAGGTAGGATCAGGAAGCAGGGTGCCGGACAAAACCCAGGCTTCGTTTATTTCCGTTCTTTCTTTCTTTCATTTTAGCTCTAGGAGACTTTTGTCTTTATTCTAGCTGCCAAGGTGTTTTTAATCCTTATATGTTCTAAGTTTCCCCACACCGTGTTAAGAGTGGACAAGGTCAAGGCTGTCCTCACCTTGAAGGAGAGGCCAGTGTGGCCCTGGGGTGGAGGCCACTTGTGCCCATCCCCCCACCTGCAGGAGTCACCTCCTGAGCGTGTGGTGGGTGGAGGCGGCAGCAGGTCACGGGGCCACTCTCCCCTTTCGTCCGCCTTTGGTCCCTTGATGGACTTGTGACCTGTAGCCTCTCACTTGACCCTTGACCTCATAAATTCTGGAAAGTCCTCACCAATCACCAGTAAGATAAACACCAGCCAGGCCCAGCGGAAGGAGGCCTGAGCCACACAACAGGCAGACAGGGAGGGGACGTCAAGTGTGCTGGTGGGGGGAGAGGGTTGGACGCCCCAGAACCAAGGATGGCAGAGGGGCCCACTGACTCAGACCTGGAGCTCTGCCTCCACGGGTCCTGGCTGGCTTGTACAGTGTAGCTCACAGACTCTGGACCCAGGTGCTGTGACTGGATTTCCTCCTAAGGGAAACCCAGGTGGAGGCATGGGTGCACACATGCGTGTGTGTGTGTGTGTGCTCCCACGTGCACGTGTACCCACATCTACATGCACGCAGTGGTAGCCCATCTGACAGTTCAGAGGCTGTCTCTTTCCAGCCTGAAATGTTCTCTCCCTCTCTCTCCCTGGTCCCCACCCCGCCCTTGTCTCTCTCCCCAGAGGGTATGAACTGCATGAACAAAGACCACGGCTGTGCCCACATCTGCCGGGAGACGCCCAAAGGTGGGGTAGCCTGTGACTGCAGGCCCGGCTTTGACCTTGCCCCAAACCAGAAGGACTGCACACGTAGGTAGATGGAGGCAAATGGGCCAGACATCCCCACGCGTCTCCTGTTGCCCAGGGTGGGGGAGGGCTGTCAGCCCCACAGGGTGGAGAGAAGGGCAGGGCCCCCTGAGGGGCATGAGGGACAGGTACTGCGATCCACAGACTTGGGGTCTTCACCTGGCCTAGCACCACCTCCACGCCCTCAAGGAGTGGGCGGGGCCTTTGGAAGGGCATTGAACCCAAGCTGTCCAGCAGACGGAAGGGCAGGCACAGAGGTCAGGAAGCCCAGGCTCCGTGCTGAGCAGGCCTTGTCTCTGGGGTCCAAGACCAGAACTTGCAGTCTGACCCCACGGTGCCGACTGCCATGGTAGGAGAGTGGCTGGGGCGGCGCTTTGTGCTGAGCAGGCCTTGTCTCTGGGGTCCAAGACCGGAACTTGCAGTCTGACCCCACCGTGCTTACTGCCACGGTCAGCGCCTGGGAGACCTCTGGCCAAAGGCTGTATTTCAGGACCTGCTTGGACCTGCGGGGCTCAAGTGTCAGCAGCCCCTCGGCAGGGTGTCCAGCTCCCCAGAAAGAATGGGACAGTGGCTGAGTCACTCAGAGCTGCTGCGTGGGAGGCCGCCCAGACCCACATCCCCTCTGCCCCGTGTCTGCAGTGAGCCACGGGAGGCTGCTACGGAGCGCTGCCCTCCACGGCCAGAGACAGTGCTCCGTGCCACGCCCACTTCGATGGAGAAAAGTAGATCAGAGGGGTTCAGACCCAGCTCTCCCAGGAGAGCTGCTGAGAGGGGAGACTGAGGCTGGCCAGCCCTCGTGGAGCGCCGCTCCCACCTGCACTCTGCAGTGGAGACAGCTGGCCCGTGGCCTCGACCGTGGGCGCAGTGACCCCACCGCCACCTGCAGCCCTCCTGTGCTCTTTGCCACAGCTTTACAGTCTGCTCCCCGCGGTCCTCCCTGTGCACCCTCCTGCTCCAGCTGTCCGTGGCCCACACAGTCTCCGGAGCGCAGTTGCTTCCTTCTGGTCCTGAGACGTGGACCGGCCCCGCTCTTCATCTGGCTCTCCGTGGGTCAGCAAAGAGAAGCGTACGTGCCATTGCCAAGGGCGAGCCCGTGAGTGACACTCCACCAGCCAGCAGGGAAGGCGCCAACTCCAGCCTTCCTGTTGCTCACTGCTCGACCTGAATTTCCTTGCGAGAAAGACCGACAGCAAGAAGGCTGGGCCGCCGGCCGGTCGGTCGCCTCGCCAGAAAGCAAGGGTGCTCCTTCGATCAGAAGTCAGGCTGGGTGTCCGTCCTGAGCCAGGCCAGAGCTGGATGCTGGGGACGCCGCCAGCCAGCACGACCAAGGCCATCTTGCTGCCTAGTTCTTTGATCCACCTGGGACACTTTGCTCTGAGGGCCTCTCCTTGGGGACTGGCCTGGTCTGAGAGGTCAGGGCTCCATGAGCAGCTGAGACACCCTACCTCCCCTGCCACCAGCCGCCCCCTCGTCAGAGAAGGGCCAAAGCCTTGCCCTGGTGCTTGCTGGCAGCTGCCGTTGTCAAGACGTGGGGAGCCTGGACGATTTTCAGAGTCGAGGAGTGCGTGGCCGCGAAGGGGCCGCCCAGCCAGTCCGGCTCGGGCTCCTGTGCTGTTGATGAGGCAGGGTCAGCGCCCGGTTAGTGCCGAGACGTCCACTGCGATGGCCCTGAGGTGCACGTTCCGCGTAGGAAGCTGCAGATCTCAAGCTGTGGTGGGCTGAGGCCTGTCTTCCCCGCCTCCCTGGCCGAGGGGGCCACGGGCCCCACACCAGCTCTGTCTCCACTCCAGGGCCAGAGGGGCTTTTCCTCATCCTTTCCCGGAGCTCAAGGCTCAAGCATCTCCCTGTACAGGTGGGCTTCACAGAGTCCGGGGAAACAGAATTCAAGGTAAGTTTATTTTGGTGCAACATCTTTGAAAATCCATGTGCAGCTTTTTCGTACTCTGCATTTCCTGCGAATTTGTCAAAACCCCCTCGCACACACTGAAGACTCTCCGGGTGCTCAACGCTGGCCCTTGGGGGGTCTCTGAGATGCATGAACGTCCTTGTGGATCGAGGAGTGGCCACGGCCTCAGGTGGTCTTTCCAGAACTGCTCCAGGTACTCTCTGGGCAGAGGAGCCCAGGACCTGTGCAGAATGGTGCTCCCACTGCCCCCCCAGCCCCAGCCCTGCCCACTCCCAAATGGGGCTCCTCTGAGTCCCCGAAGACACATGGTGTCCAGCCCTGGGCTCCCCAGCCTGAGATCTGTGCCGAGTGCAGCTTCCAGAGCCCCGGGCTTCCCTGGCTGTCCGCTGGCCAGAGGGCTGAGCTGCTCCTGAGGAGAGAGCGGCCCAGGAGCCCGGCTCCAGCAGCAGTGTGAAGAGAGGAGAGTGCTCAGAGAGGTGGGGGCGGAGTGGTTAGAGCTCCAAGCCCCAGCTGTGCCCCCGGAAGTGGTTTACAGGTCGTCCCTGGGAAGCCAGCAACTCCATGGGAGAGGAGTCAGCCCACTGGCACCCTGGTTGCTGAGGACAGCGTCTGGGGACTAGAAGTGCCCTGTGCCCCTCGGGCCTTTCTCTTTCTAACCTCCTTCGCCAAGCAAGTGAAGAGAGGCGAGGATTCCGGACTCACGGTCAAGGCATCTAAGAGGACACCCGGTCTGCGAGGGCCCGGAGTATCTCGTGCGGCTGCCTCACCAGCCTCATAAAGTGGAGGCTCTCAAACCCAGCACACACAGAGTTTTGGTCACCTTGTCCTCCTCCAGCCTTGAAACTCGCCCCAGAAAATGATGACGTGCTTTCTTTTAAGTAAACTTGAACTTGCAGTTCGTCCTACCTCAGACTGGCTCCTCTGTGTTCAGCCCCTTTTCAGCCAACCGAGGTTGCAGGTGTGAAACATCTTGCAGTTCTGGGCTGCAGGGCACCAGATGTTGCAAACGATGAAACCTGCTTGGGGCCACCACTGAAGCATAGCCGGTAAAGCCATAGCCTGCACCACCAGCGTACCACATGGACACCAGTTCAAGTCCCGGCTGCTCCACCTCCCATCCAGCTCCCTGCTAATGGCCTGGGGAAAGCAGTGGAAGACAGCCCAAGTGTTTGGGCCCTTTCTACCCATGTGGGAGACCCGGATGAAGCTCCTGGCTCTTGGTTTTGGTGTGCAGCCATCTGGAGAATGAACCAGTGGATGGAAGATATCTCTGTGTCTTTCTTTCTCTCTCTCTTTGTAACTCTGACTTTCAAAGTAAACAAATAACAATAATAAAGAGAACCTGCTTTATTTATGTTGTTTCCAATAGTGCACCTCAAGGACACTTTTTGTAGGAGTTCTGTGTGGACATGGCCGGGGTCTGGAGCATGAGGGCTTCGAGGGGTGTTCTGAGATGGCCGCTGGGACAAAGGGTGGACATCTCTGGGGACATCCTCCCACACACCCCAAGGGCACTGCAGAGGGCATCACTTCGAGCCAGGCCTGCGAGCAGCCCTGCCACTGACATGGGCCCCTGGAGACTGGCAGCGGCCAGCGCCGCACAGCCTGGGGAAGGGGAAACCGTCTGGCTTGGCTCTTACTTCGGCTGCCATGGTCTGTGCCCAGCTCCATCCAGAGCCCAGCAGCCTGGAGTCTGTTCTCTGGCCCTCGCCAGTTCACCTGTAAGGGTGGGTGACTCCATCCAGACCCTAGAGGGCTAAGGGGGTGGGTATGTGTAGCGATCGTCTGCAAGCCTCTTGGCCCCGTTCCCCAGTCGTCAGGCCCTCGCTCCCTCCCCCGCCCCTGAAAAGCAGCACCCAACACTGGCAAACTAACGGTCTTTGTTTTCGTTCTGTCTGTACACACGTGTGCACGCTTTGGGCCTAACTAGTAACCTGTAACTATGGGAACGGAGGCTGCCAGCACAGCTGTGAGGACACGGACACGGGCCCCACGTGCGGCTGCCACCAGAAGTACGCTCTGCACTCGGACGGTCGGACGTGCATCGGTGAGTCAGCGGCCTGGCCCTGCCAGCACCGGCCACTTCCCGGTTCCCAGAAGGAAGCTGGAGGGACACAGAGGAGGAGGGCCCATGGCGGCGATGGGGACGGCAGGGTCCCCAAGGAGGGCTTCCGAGGAGACTCCCAGGGCCCTGCAGTCCAGCCGCTGCCCCTCTGCTTTGGGTTCCCTGGCATGGTCTGTCCTGACGGTGGGCTGTGGGGAGGAGGCGGCACGTGCTCTCAGGGCAGCCTCTGGTTACAAGCACCATTTCCTCCCCGGGTGTGGAGAACACAGCCGGGCTATGCAGTGCATCCCAGCCTCTGTTAGGGACACGAGTGCCCATGGCGTCTGGAAAGCCACGTTTTTCTCAGAACATGGCTTTAGGGGAAATGGAAGGCGTGAACCGCGGTGGGGGCGGGGTTTTAACCGCTTCCATTCCACGCTAACAGGGTTCTGCGGGACTTCCTTTCCACCTGCCATCTGCCCTTCTCAGACACACCCCCCCTCAGCTCACCTGTCACACGGATTCTGGATTGAGTCTCCGCCCCCTCCTTCCTCCTGGCCCTTGTTTCCAAGGGGAAGCTTGAGTATTTGTGGTTATTTCATGCCGTAATCACTAAACATAGGGTTTTTTGTCCTCCCTCAAGAATAACAGCAAATTTTTAACTGGAAAAAAAAAAAACAGGAATTTCAAAGTTGGCACCCAGAGTTCACCCTCTTCTTTCTCTACAACATTGGCAAATTTAATTTTTTTAAAAATTTATTTATTTGAAAGGCAGGGGTCGGGGAGAGAAAGTTTCCACCTGCTGGATTCACTCCTCCAAACAGGCAGGGCTGGGCCAGACTGAAGCCAGGAGGCTGGAACTCAGTCCAGGTCTCCCTGTGGGTAGCAGGAACCCGAGCACATGGGCTAACACCTGCTGCCTCCTACGCACATTGGCAGGAAGCAGAGTGGTAAGCAGAGTGGCTGGGGTGAACCAGGCACTCCGAGCTGGGAGGCGGGCATCCCAGGCGGCAGCTTAACCTGCTACGCCACGGCTCCTGCCCGCTTTGTGCAGCAAACCCTGGAGACCCAACGCAAGGCAGTCACCGTGGTTATTATTTTTTTTGAAAAAGAAAGGCCCTGTTTCTTGTTGCCTTAGAAGGTATTTCTTGGGGGACCTTGAAGTGGCTGGAAGGTGTCGGCAAGCAAGCAAAAGCCCGTGGGGCCAGAGCTGCTGTCGCGTTCTGTCCCCGTGGTAGGAGCTGGGGGCCGGGCCGGGCCAGGCGGGGCGCTGGGCCGTCCCTCGGCAGCTGGGCTGTGGTGGCAGGGCGCTGCCTGCGGTGGCTCTCCTTCCGTGTGGTCTCTTTCAGACGACCATGTTTTATTCCATTTGATCTCATTCTTCCTGCCTTTCTGGTGATGGTCCCTGATTGCCTGTCTTGTCTGATAACTGATGTTCGTTAATTTCAGAACCAAAAGCCAAAACCAAACCAACCAACCAATCAGAAAAAAAGCAAATTAAAAGCCAAACCCGGTCTCAGACCAGTGTCTCTATTGCAGCCTGATCCCATCTAGAACTCCTGTTCTCCTGCCTCTGTCCCTCCGCTGTCCTGCTCGGGGCCACCCTGCCTCCTCCCGTCTCGTCTGCTCTGCGTCCCCCTCAGAGTTTGCGTGTCCAGTGGAACCAGCTCTGCAGCCACTGGGCCAGTGCAAACAGCGGCCGGGCCAGACCCCCTGCCTGTGTCTAACACACCTTGTCCGTGTCCACCTCACTCACCCTTTCTCAGTTTTTGTTTTGTTTCTGTCCTGCATGTGAAGGTCCCCGCTTGCATCTGCTTCCTACAGTAGCTCTCCCACCCCTCTCCCACCCTACTCCCACCCCGCTCGGTAGAGAGCATTTCCCGTACCCAGCCTCCCCTGCGGCTGCTTCCACCCTGGCCAGGGTGAGAAACCTTCCGTCTGATTTTGCTCACTGCTCATCAGCTCCCCCTTGGGAGCAGAGGTCCCCACATGCTCCGCGCTGAGCAGAGACGCTCCCAGCAGCTAACCTCCCGCACCCCTGCACCCCTGCACCGCAGCATCCCGACGCTCCCTGCCCGGCCCAGGCCAGCTTCCCTGCCGCACCCTCCTTGCGCCCTAGTGGAGCGCCTGAACGCGTAGCTCTCGTCCTCTATAGACAAGCAGGCAACCAGCACTCCCGAGTCCGTCCCCCGGCGTCTGCATCTTCAGTGGGGTCTGTCCTCGTGTGTGTCCTTCCACGTGGTCTGTTTTAACTTTGCATGAGTGTTTGTGCTTTCCCGTCCTATGACAGGGCATCTGCTGTCCCGGGCCCACCCATCACCGGCCTCACGGCCCTGTCCCCTTGTCCTGTGCCTGTGCTGTGCCTGCCTTCCAGCCCGGGCCATGGGGTCTGTAACGGCTTGTGTCTCGGGGCACCTCGGTGGTGCTGTCTCTGTGGCCTGTCTGCTCTGACCTCAGCCTCCCCTCTTTCTGTCCCTGGGCCCCATGCCCCCTCTGTGTCCTGGGTCATCTCGTGGGCACCCCTTCTTGTCTGCACACGCGCCCATCCTTGCTGCCTCTCCGCTTTGCCCTGGAGGTTCCTGGGATCAGCCCTGGCGAGGACGCCGTGCGGGCCCAGCATGCTGTGTTGGCTGTGTGTCGGGCCGTGGGGAGTGGGCTGCCAGTAACCGCGGGCTCGTGTTTGTCCCTTACTTTGTTTTAGAGAAGGATGAGGCTGCAATTGAGCGCTCTCAGTTCAGTGCCACGTCAGTAGCTGATGTGGACAAGCGGGTGAAACGGCGGCTACTCATGGGTAACACTTTTCTTCCACTTCCTTTGTCCCGCTTGCCCGCGTGTGCGTGTGCGTGGGTGAGCATGGGTGTGCTGGCATGTGTGCCTTTGTGTGCATGCTGGCATGAGGGTGTGTGCTGAAGGTGTGCACGTGTGTGAGTGTGTGCTGGTGTGTGGGTGCCAGCATGTGCATGTGAGCACGTGTGTGTGTGTGTGTGTGTGTGTGAGAGTGGGGGGCTCACTCCAGATGGGAACTCACTTTCCTTTTTAAAGTTGTGACCCTCCATCAAACACGCGTGTTTCTTTGTGTGCTTGTAGCCACGCACCCTGAGCCACACCTATGCCTGTGATGAGGCGGTGTTTACAAGCCTCCTGGCGTGCAGTAGGCACCCCCATAAGCAGCCAGGACCCCAGGAAAAGGCTGCACCGAGACTCGGAAGGAGGAGGCACCAGTGTGGGAGGGCCCCGGCAGACAGTCCAGGAAGGGAGTCGCCAACCAGGACCTCTAGCTCTCAGGGAAAGAGCCGCCTGGTGTCAGGTGCCACTTCGGGATTTGGGAGGCCTGCTCACAGGGCTGGCCAGGCCAGTGTGAGGAGGAGGAGGAAGAGAAGGGAGAGAGGCGTGGCAGCCAGTCTGCCTGCTTGTTCCCCAGACCTGTGCCCGTCAGGTGTCCCACTGTTCTTAGGGGCTGGCTTCGGGGCCGCACCAGCCCCCAGGGCCGCCTGAGCTTAGCCTCCTGGAGCTTCACAGCCCCCAGGGCCGCCTGAGCTTAGCCTCCTGGAGCTGTCACAGCCTTCCTGGTGGCACTCCAGTAGCTCACACTAGCCTTGGCAGCTGCGGGGTCAGGTGGTGTGGTCCCCAATTTTCAGAGGAAGAGACTGAAGCTCACTGGGGGACCCTAGCTCGTCCTGCTCAGCCCAGAGGTCATGTCCGTGTCGGCATCTCAAAAGTGTTTGGGGTCACAGGACTCCCCAGGTCAGAGCCTGAGGGTCCTGGAGGAATCGTCTAGTTCTTGGTCCTCAGGTGGACCTCGGAGGGGTCCCAGCAACTAGAGAGGAAGCAAGAGGGAGATCCAGAGGACGGGGTGGGGGGGATGTGGCCTTTGTGCTGGCCTTGGGGCCTGCCCAGCCCTTAGGGCACTGATGAACAGAGATCATAGGCCCGGCTGGTGCTCTGTGAGCCACTGAGTCCGTGCTAGGCAGGGCAGCGATCGCCCTGCTTCTGACATGAGAGCATCAGAGGCGGAGAGGCCAGAGCAGCACGCGGGCACCAGGATGCACTGAGGCCCAGCCTGCCGTCCGTGGGTTCTCGGGGTGCAGCTGGCCCAGCCTGCCGTCCGTGGGTTCTCGGGGTGCGGCTGGCCCAGCCTGCCGTCCGTGGGTTCTCGGGGTGCAGCTGGCCCAGCCTGCCATCCGTGGGTTCTCGGGGTGCGGCTGGCCCAGCCTGCCGTCTGTGGGTTCGCAGGGTGCGGCTGGCCCAGCCTGCCATCCATGGGTTCTCGGTGTGCAGCTGGCCCAGCCTGCCGTCCGTGGGTTCTCGGGGTGCGGCTGGCCCAGCCTGCCGTCCGTGGGTTCTCGGGGTGTGGCTGTCGTGTCGACTTGGGCAGTCTGGTTTGGAAGAGCCAGGAATGGCAGAGAGGGTGGATTTGTGGGGCTCCCGCCTGGGTGTGACCACATCTCCTTGGAAGGTCTGAGTCAGGCAGTGGACCCTCTAGAGGGCGGATGGAGGGGGCAGTGGGAGCCCCAGAATGATCAGCACCCAGAACAGGCAAGACCTGGAGCTGGGGCCCTGGGAAGAGTAGATCGCTCGACAGGGCTGATTGGGGTAGCGTCAAGCAGCTGGGTGATGGCGAGGTGGAGGGGCAGGTGGGGAGGGCCTGTCTGCTCTCATAGTTAGAATCTGTGTGACAGCCCAGAGCCAGACCCTAGAGGTGGATTGGGGAAGGAAGGAGGGAAGTACCAGGAATCCAGGTTGCCCATGCAGGCTTTGGGAGGCAGGGATCTGTGCCAGGCCTCCCTGCATTCTGACCTCTCTGGTTACCAAAACCCCCCGTCCTGCACCCCTGGAGCTGATCTGCCCACAGACGGGAGGGGCCTGCTCTGGTCTCCCTGCAGTACTTAGCACGGGCAGACAGGGCCACCCTCCGGGGCCTTCCACCCAGAACCAGGCAGTCACCCTCAGAGGCTTCCATAAAAGGCCAGTCTTGGGATCCCGAGTCCCGAGCCCAGTTGGGCCTCCAGCTGAAGAGCACCCCTCTCCTCTGAGAGCTGCCCGCATGGCAGACCTGGGATGTTGGACTCAGGCCCTGACTGGCAGCCCCGTGAGAAGCAGCAGCTGCCAGGCCACAGTAATGGAGATAAGGTGTGGAAAATGAGGGAAGCGGCCATCCCATCCTGCCCTGTGCTGAGCAGGGCACATCTGGGCGTGAGGTTAGAGCCTGGCCCTGCATGGAGACAGCAGCCTAGCTGGTGAGGAGTGGGACCTGGGTCAGCCTCACTTGCTGATGCCACCTGGGGGAGGGGTAAGGGCCATTTACCCCACAAGACCCTGGGCCAGCTTGCGGTCTGCGAAGGGAAAAGGAAGAATAGGCGGGGGGTCAACCCAACAGCGGGTGCACGATGAGACCCTGAGAGTCCCACGCAAGGTCAGACCCTGTGTCGCCTGGCTCCACAGTCCATGCCCCCGATGGCCCTGCTGGCCAGCTCCCCGTGGAAAGACAGGGAGCATGCCTGCGTGAGAGGAGACAGGGCAGTCAGCTTGCACTGCAGTGTTCTGACGCTAGCAGGGCCCACAGCAGTTGTGGCACAGGGCTCCTCCATGGCTGGCCAGGCACCTGTGCTACAGGCACAGAGGGGCTGAGATGCCAGTCATCTCCCACGGCCATGGGGCTTCTAGAGTGGGCAGGAAAGGGTGGAGGAGGGCACGAGCTCTGGGCTTGCCAGCCCAGCCCCCAGCCTCGCCGCTCTCCATGGTGCCCACCGTCAGGAGCAGACTTGTCCTGCAGCTTCGGGATGAACCCCCTCTCTTCCCAGTGCGCTCTCCCCTCTCCCCATAAGGTGTCTGGGACACATGCCCGTTCTGGCCGGAGGAGCCACCGGGGCTCAGAGAGAGGAAGCGGCCTGGGAGCCCAGCTCCCTGCTGCCACCGTCCCATTCCAAGGCAGAGAGGTTGGATCTCACATGCTCTTAGCTGTTGCCTCAGAGGTTTTTCATAAATAATCATGCCTGCCAGTCCCATAAATGTCTACAAGTCATTTAATTAACAGCCTGTCTCAGCACAGCCCAGGGCCAGGTCAAAAGCAAACAGAGAACACAGAATGCAGGAACTAAACGAGGCACTTAAGTTGTGTGTGAGCCTCTCTGGTCCTGGCGTGGAACCTGCCTGCTCTGTTGAGCCAGGTCCTAACCTCCCAACTCCAGGTCCCCGAGTTTAGAAGCCAGCACTTATACAAACACCAGCCTTGACCAAACCCTGCAGCGCCCGACAGGAAGGCGCTGGCTGCCTTCCCCAGGACTGCCCGCCACACCAGGCCACAAGGAAGGCCAACGGTGCTGGAAGCCACAGCACGCAGGGGGTTAAGTGGCTTCGCCCTCCCTGCCCTGGTGGAGACAGAGCAGGATTCTGACTTCAAGTGGTGAACAGAGGGAGAAAACCTCGGAGAGCACAGGGACCTGTGGCCTCGCAGGGCGAGCTGGCCCTGCCCCACCCTGCTCTGTAGCGGTTGACAGCAGTCACCCACCCACCAAGAACAGGGCGAGTCACGCTCACTGGACAGAGGCCTCAGAACACGGCAAGTTATGCATGCCCATTAGCATGGGGTCAGGCCTTGGGTTTAAAGAAAAAGCGATAAACGTCGATTATCTGGCAGACTTCCTCATGGGAGGCACCCAGGGCCCAGCTCTGGGTGCACGCCAACACCTCCCGCAGGGCCTGGGACCCTCTCAGCAAGATCCGTGGCTGTGTGAGTCAGACTTGTCAACGCCAGCCTTTAAATCTGTCCCATTCCCAAAAGCAGTCATAGGCTTCCTGTGGCTGCCGCTGACGCGTGACTGTACCCTGCAGCGTCCCAGAACAACGCCAGCGCACTGCCTTCTGTCACTGAGAGTCTTGACAGGAGTGAGGGGTGAGGGTGAGCACGGGGCTAAGCCAGGGCGTGAGCAGCTGTGTCCTCCGGGTCTCAGTCTGAAGCCCTCGCTTCACCTTAGCCAGCTTCCGGAAGTGCCTGGGGCCCCTCCCTCAGGCTCCAGGGCCAGCAGTGGTGTCTCTGACCGGCCCCTTCTGCCTCCCGCTGTCACTTCTGAGGACCCCCCATGTGCCCATGGGGCTCACCCTGGCAACCAGGAGAACTGCCGCCATGTCAGGGTCCCTGCTGTGGTCACCCCTGCGAGTCCCTTTGCCACTCAAGGACCTGGATGTGGGGCTGAGGCCACAGACGTCTTGCAGAGCAGATGATTCAGCTAGGGCCAGCAGCAACCTCCTTAAGGTAGAGCCGCCTCTGCACTGGCTCAGCCCAGGACCACCAAGCTCCCAGCACACGGCAGGGCCTCCCAAACCCTCCTGGAAGCGTGGGATGCACCTGACCCTCTGTCCCCCTCCGTCTCTCAGGCAGCCTCTGTGTGTCTCCAGCCCCTTGCTCTACCTGAGCCCTTGCTTGCCAGTGCTGTGTCCTCACTGCAGTTAGCCAGGTACTTTCTGGTCAGTTCTGCAATGAGGCCCACAGCCCCAGGAGACAGATGTCCCCACCTCACAGGTACAGATCCCGAGGCCCTGAGAGGGGAGGCCACACGGTGTTCAGTAGCCACAGTCTGCCACGGTCTGAGCCCTCTGGACCCGCTAACCCCAAGTAAGGATCAGAGCAGGCCCATGGCTGTCCCAGGCTCTGGCCCGTTCCTAACAGTGCTCTACGGCAGGACCCACACCCAGCCAGTAGTTCCAGTCGGGGCGACCCTCGGTCCCAGCCTTCTCAGGGTCTCGCTCTCTGCCTAGCCCTCGTGTAAACCTCATGGCCACCTGAGAGCTGGT